TGGAGGAGCTCTCATATTTAACTCACACGATGACGATATATATTTGATATAATGGTAGTATTATCTCTACTTCATTGTAAGAAGATATTATTGACACTCAAAAAGGTTATCACGCACTCCTTCTTCTTTGTAAATATACATAGGGAATGAGTACAAGTTGTATTTTTTATGGTGTCAATAACAATTTTCATAATAAATAATAATTATAATATGAACGATTTCCAAATATGTCCTATATAAGGCCTTTTGTTGGATCCTAACCCTATAAGGAGCACCAAAATAGCCATAGAAGTGGTTCACTGACCTTAACCAAGACGGGATTAGGCAAACTGATTACTTTATTGATTTATTCTGAACAACTTCTGGAAATATACACTCAGTTATAATAAATATTTATTAGGTAATTTTGTTGAACATCTAGCAGAAACAGCCCAAATCAGGGAAAACTAAGCCCAAAGAAAAACTAAATGGCACCAAACACAACAGCCCAAAACACCAAGACCAACAAAATACAAATTGTGTGATGGGGAACACGAATGAGGAGTCAGTGGAGAACTCAGTAACTAGGGGATATATTGATGTAGGAATGTGACAGAGGGATGAACCACCACAAAGGACCGATTGTTTGGGGTGGTCGGTTCTCCATTATTGGGTTATGCAATAACAATGAAATGTTTTTGGACTCGGCAATCTTAGTTGTGCACTAGTAGTACAACATTTTTGCACTCGACAATCTCAATTGTCAACTACCAAGAATATCTCAACACCTTTAATAATGTGATCTGATTAAAACTTGATTTGCAAGTAAATTACTTTAAAAGATAAGTTACAAATCATGGATAAGAGAAAGAAAGAGTAAGTAAAAAGATATTGCAAAATATGCCTAAATGAGATGCACTCCTAAATGGATTCTAATTGATTAAAATCAAGGAAGATTCTGAAAAACGTTCCAATTATGAGTGCATGAAAAATAACATGTCTTACCCTTTAGATCAAATGGCTTATATGTGTTAAGTCACAATTCTGAAATTCAGGGGATTGCTGAGCTGTTTCAATCCTGCAGTTTTTGGAAATCAGAGACATCAATTTTGCTTCAACCCTACAGCTAAATGACACTTCCAAACCAATACTAAGGGGGGTGTATTCAATTATAACTTTTAACGACTTTTTGTAAGTGAGCGACTTTCATAGAGTTGACATACTCTTAATGACTTTTACATACTTTATAAAGTTAGTGATATACTTTCATATACTTTTATCATAGAGTTTTACATACTTTTATCTACTTATTTGATCTTTTGCGCTCCAAAAATAAATGCATTAGTCCTAAATCTTTTTTGTGTTGAAGAACTAGTAAATTGATTAAACCAGGGCGCAAATAAAGCACCAGATACAACCGAGGAAGAGTCCAATGCAGTGGGACTACGAGCAAGGCTTGGTTTGAAAATGATCTTCATGCATTTACCATGGTGTACTAGCTTGGTTTGTGTAGATGCTTTGTCTCTCACGTCATGCTTACAATAAGAGGAGTGAGGTCAATGTGTCGTCCATTCCAAATGCAAATGAGGATGGTTCAGATGTAGTGACTTTCAACGAGAAAGATGAGCATGCATCTTTTTGGGTTCCATTGTTAACGGGTAACATGATTTTGAAGTCACTGACAAAATCTTGGGTAAATTAGCAAGACTTTTTGTATTAAGAATTAGCCTTAAAAGTATTGAAAAGTCATTCATTTAACAAAGTTTTCAAAAGTCATTAACTTTTTGGATACCCCAAAACTTTTAAACACTTTTTAAAGTCACAATTGAATACCACTTAACTTTTAAAGACTATTTAAAAGTCATAGTTGAATACCTCTAGACTTTTAAACTCATTAAAAGTCTTTAAAAGTTATAATTGAATACACCCCCTAAGTTCTAGGAAATGCCAACACTATTTCATACTAACATAAGTGCTTATGCACGTGGCTTCTTTCTACAGTTTCTCAAAAGTGATTATGCACTCATTAGTCTTTGTTGTGTAGTAATAAAAAAGTGTTTTTGCACTTGGTGATGTAACAACAATATTCATTGCAATGACATTGACATTGAGAAAAAAAATTTAAAATTGACCTAAAGATATTTGTTGAATTAAGAAAGTGGAACAATAAAAGAAAAGCAAACATATCATGATTAGCATGCAAAATGTTGTAAATCAATTTAATTATTATGGATGCCCACCATATATCCTTTACCCGGAATTTCTGTCACCATAATATTATATTTGTTTAGTGTGGTAAATAGTGTACTCCTTTTATACTCCATTTGCCTATAAATATAAAGCATTAAGGGAATGAAATGATAAGTTTTATAATACGTTATAAGCACGAGTCTCTAACCACCTGAGGATCTTGATTTAAGCTTGGTATAATTTTATTCTCTCTAAATTTATATTCCGTTTTTAATTATATTTAATAGTCAATATGAGTGCTATATTTTACTAACCAAGTTTCATTTAGATGTAGCTATACACATATTAATTGATACATGTGGAAGCTATGCCAAAGCATGAATATCTATATTATCCATTTTTGTATTTAACCTTTGTGCAGGGTATTTATCTTAAATATATACATAAGTTAACTTGCAATATTGATATGTTGAAGATGAATTTTTATCATAAATGAGAACCCGAAGTTCATAGATCAATATATTTGGAACCTGAAGTTCTAAACTAAAATGATAATTGTAATATCATAAATACTTTTATAAGAAATGAATTTGATTTTGAATTAAATGGAAACTTGAAGTTCACACCTAATGATTTAAACCTGAAGTTTAAAATCAAAATAATATAAAAGTATTTGCTCATTAGGAACTTTTAAGTTAGTTGTCTTGCAGTATTGACTTAAGACCAACTTTTGTCATGCTTCATCCTGTAAAGATCCATTAACTCATTTTCTGATATAATATAAAAGTATCCCATATGAAGTGCTCTTGAGCCATCGAAGGGTTTGCACTACTTGTTTACCACTATGTTGCCACTATAGGCTTGCTCATAAATAAAAAAAATGTTGCCACTTTGACACTAACTTAAGTTACGATATTAATATTGAAAATTCCCAAGCTTGCTAACAAAGAGTGATTATGACTCCTAAGAAGTACCAAATTACAGCTAACAATTTCTTAAGATTACAGTATCTCTAAGGAGCTATAGGTAGTGATCCAATAGTAAAACTAGATAATTCAATAAAATCTTTTTGCCTCCAAAAAGTCATTACATTATTCTAAGTTAGCTCAAACTAACCTATCTCAAAATCTCAACATTAGCTGAACTTCAAAAACTATTAGTAAACAATCAACTCCAACAAAACTCCAATGTGAATTCAACTAGAGAAACATTATTTAATTAGGATTTGTTGAAGAATATGAGTCCCACATCGGAAACTTGACTAAATAAAATACAAAATATAATGAATGGTTCTACTACTAATAACACCGAGACCTTTTGTGATAAAACCTCACATCTACTGGGCTTTGTAGGTGGTTAAGTTGGACAATATCGGTGTTGTTAGTAGTGGACCCCTGGCCCGTCTCCCTAAATTTAACATGCTATCATAGCGGGTGGATTGATTGGGCATTTACCCTTACCCCTTACCCAACGTGTTTTGTTCACATGTTGGGCTTGAATATTTACCTTTATCCAATACGTGGTGCTCATGTGTTGGGCTTGAATGTTTGACTTCGATGTGGACTTGGCTCCACGTGTGGCTTACTATGTGATGGTCCCACATGAGGGGGCATGTTGAATAATATAAGTCCCACATCGGAAACTTGACTAAATAAAATACAAAATATAATGAATGGTTCTACTGCTAATAACACCAAGGCCTTTTGTGATAAAACCCCACACCTATTGGGCATGTTGAAGGATTTTGGTTACTTATTCGTTTATTTATTCATATTGTAATTGAGATTAATTTTATATTTTTATCTCTTCTAAGGTTAACATATGTTTGTACTTGTTTATAAATACATCCGTATTGGAGGTCGGTGTAGGTATTCAATCTCCGCGTACTCAACAGGTGGGACCCTTTCAAAGGTTAGGCAGCGTTGAACTTGTTGTGAGTGGACATTTGGTTTTAATGAGCCCTATTTGGTTTATATTGGTTCTTTGGGATTATGGCATTGCTTGCATAATTATTAATTATTTGGAAATTGGTTATTTTGGTTTAATAAGGTTATGGAATATATTATTAGATTGGTTTCGGCTTTTATAATGTGATATGGGAATTTCGGAGATTATTAATTATAAAAGATATGGATTTTGGGTTTTGGGTTTTGGATTATGGTGATATTGGGTTTATTTCTGAAATTTGAATATGGGGTTTTGGTTTATATGGATATATGTGTGGATTTATTTTCAGGTTGAGGTTTCTTGAGCATTTGCATCAAGAGTACTATGTACAGGCATGAGCTTTTTAAATGATTTTCAAATTGGACATTTGGATTCTCGTAAGAATACTTGGCTATTTTATATTCTTAGCAAGCATGTGCCTTAGTAAGGGTATGATTGAGGGTGGATTTACTTTGAAGGTACTGATTTTACTGTTTTCAATATGGCATAAGTGAGTCAAACATCGGTAAGATGTCGGACAGGCACAAGGTTCATCATGGATTCCAAGGGGGAATCCAGAGTGAGTTATGTCACCTAAACCGTTCGAACCAAACTGTCTAAAATTAATTTGATTTAGTTTCCTTAGTGAGTTTTGTCAAAACTAAACCGTTCTATTGTGATTTGTTCTGTTGTAGTTTGATGTAAAACCAATTCAATCCAACTTTGCCCACCCTTACCAATAACTATTACAAACAACATTACAAAATTACACAATAATAATGTAGTGTTAATGTTTGATTAAGTAACTTTTTGTTTTTTGAATTTATCGCAAGAATCACTCCCAAACGAGGCCTAAATGTAGCGTTGAGATTTGATTAAGTAATTTTTTGTCTTTTGAATTTATGGAGCCGACCGCCGAGGACGAGAGGGAGAGGCAGAAGGCGGCGGTGGCTGACTTCGTCGAGGGCATCGCAAAGGAGCAGAAAACTCAGCAGAAGCAGAGCAGCGATGGCGGTGGTGATGAAGGCCTGGACGAGGACGAGATTGAGATGATGAAGAAATTTGGGATTCCGACTGGATTTGACTCGACGAAAGGGAAGCCCGTGCCTGGCGCCGATGTGAGCGGCATTAGGGCGGTCACTAAGCGGCAGCCGAGACAGTATATGAATCGCCGCGGTGGATTTAATCGGCCTTTGCCTGCTGAGCGTAATCGCTAGATTACTGGTTAGGGTTTGTAATCCCTTTGGGTTTTGGAATGTGCTTATTTTTCTGTTTAAGTTTACTAAATAAGTTGGATAGTGTTGGCATATTTTAGGGTTTATAATCCCCTTGTTTGCTCTTTGATTTAGGGGTTTGGAATGTGCTTACTTTGCTTTTTTGAGTTTACAAACTAAGTTGGACATTGTTGAGTGTGGTATATGCTAGTTTATGCTTTCTTTTGTTCTTGTTTGTGGTAATTAGAATGACAATATTTATATTTCAAGTTTTTATTTTTATTTTCGTGGTGCAATTGACCTAAATTATTCATCAACAAATCCATGTTATTGTGTACTGTTCCCATTTTGTAGGTTTTGTTCTTGTTTGTGGTAATTAGAATGACAATATTTATATTTCAAGTTTTTATTTTTATTTTCGTGGTGCAATTGACCTAAATTATTCATCAACAAATCCATGTTATTGTGTACTGTTCCCATTTTGTAGGTTCTAGCCTTCTAGGGTAGGTTAGTCGTGTTCCTAGTATTCAGATGGTGATTTGTTCTGCTTAAGAAGTGCATTGGAGTTTTGACATTGTGGGATAAACTCAGGTAGCTAGTTAATCCGCATGGTGATAATTGTTTCTAGTTGAATGTTGACATATGGTTATCTTGTGTGGTAGTACTCGCTAGTTTCTAATCTAAAAAACTTGAAGATGTAGAGTATATGTGAAGTTTTGGTGCAGACGATGGCAAGAGCCTTTAACATTTGAAGTTGGGTTCTGATTTGATTTTGTTAATGCAACACTGTTCATATGTTCTGGAATTGCCTAATTTCGTTAATGCGTAGTTCTATTTCTCTTCTCATTTATCTTAATCTTACATTTTAAATATTTACTGACAAGCTTTTAAATTACTTGTATGTAAGATGATGGCTTCTGTTCTGTTAGTTTGCATAGCATTTTCTGTGGAAGTCATCTGCAATTTTTCAAGGTTTTTTAGGATGCTTAGCTGACTTTCTAATAAAAGGGATTTGTTTCTCTGTCTCCCTTAATTAAGTCATTCTTATAAACCGTGGATCATGTTAGATTCAGTGTCAAAAAAATGATCATTATACGTGAAGTAGAAGTACAATTTGACATGAGTGAACATTTGTGTCTTGTTGTCATGTGTGAATTAACTTTTAACATATTTTTCTCATCATATTTTTTTGGTCCTTCAAATTGAATTTTATGTTTCACATCATTTTTATTGTACTCTCTGGTCAAGCTTTTCTTGCTTCTTGGTTAGGGCTGAGATGCTTTGATTTGTGATTTCATTGTAAATAAAATGTGAGTGATTGGGGATGAATACAACAAACATGTTTTCACAGCGTTTCCCAAAGTGTTGTAGTGAGACAATGGAACTGGAAAGGTGTTGAATGTGTTGTCTGTTTAGCAAAATGGTATGTTACCTGGTTAAATTGTGTAAAGAATTAAGTTGATCTCCTCTAGATTGTTTAAACATAGGTTTGTTCTGCCAATGGAAGTTTTTTCATATGAGCCTCCCGTTTCCGATTTTGAATTTTTGTTACATAGATGTGAAATTATGACATTTCTTCAATATCTTTCTCAGTGACTCAATTCTTTGACTTTCCTGATTTAGAGATGTTAGAATTTGTCTTTATTACGCGATGACTTAAAGCTGTGAAAGATGCGAGATGATATGTTGGTGTATTCTGGGGATTAATTTAGTGGTTTTTTGTATGTGTAGATTAAGCATGACATAAAATGGGCTGCTTGGAGGATTCTACAAAATGCATTTTTCTTTTACACTTGGCCTTTGGTTTTATCTCAGCTATTTATCATTTAAAATGACCAGAAAACCTTGCGTTTGAGTTGTGTACATGACAGGGATGATAAGTTATTAGTATTACCATGTGAAAGTTTTCTTCGTTGTAGTTTCGGATATCTCTAATTATCAGGTTCTTTTACATGCAGACAAGGAGGGTCATCCAGCATGAGATGAACCATGTGGAGAGACTTGGATACTTGAAAGCCGTCGGCAGGATGGACCCGAATCAGTCAGACCGTGTAAGGTTTTCTCTAGTTCATTGTATTTTGCATCCAATGATGGATTCCCATGAGATTCATGTGATTGACTGATTCTTATGTCGGAGTTTTGAACAAATTAGTCATTTGGTTCACCTCCTCGGAGTTGTATTAGTTGTTAAATGCAACATTAATGGGACTAGCTACTTGTAAACATGGGCATCTCTCAAGAAAAACAAAGATAAAAGGAAAATGTGAAAAGTGAAAAGGAGGATAACAAAGGTGCTGATATCTCTCAACTCAAGGATCTACGTAGTTCCTTCCTGGCCTTCTTGACCTTGTTAATAGTGGCAAAATGATAGTGGCTTAAGGCCCTGAGCTAAATCCCACTATATAAAACAAGACAACTAGTACAAACTTAAAGCAAGATCAAAGTTAAATTAATAACTTAATAAGGTACTGAGTTGAATCCATGACAAGTTTTATTGCAATTATCCTGAAATTTCCTCTAAGGCAGTGCATAAGTCATAGTTTTAATACCATATCTGCGGTTCATTCTGTGGGAAAAGTTAGTAGGCTAGTAGCGGTAGAATAAGAGAGTACCACATGGATTTTATGAGAGAGAATCATATATAGGACATCTTTGTTTTAAGTTGCCTACTTCAAACGTGAGAGGAGAAATTTGAATTTAGGATAGGACATCTCTCGAAATACCACTAGTTTAAAAATCCAATCCTCATGAGACTTGATACAATATTTAGAGAAAAGACAAATACCACTAGTTTTATATTCCAATCATCAGGAGAGTTGTTACTTTTTTAGTGGGGTGGGGCCAGCATTTGCCAACATTAATCCATAGTGAATTATAAGTTATTTATACCGACACTTTTGAGTTTTTATTTTATTTTATTTTAATACAAGCGATAGATATTTTGCAAGTCTAATCCCTAGTCTAATCCTCCCTATCAAACAAACAAGCTCTTAGAGGTGTCGGCATAAATAGCTCTGAATTATAAACTACTAGTCCTACCAAAACCAAGGCAAGTTGAAAACCATGGGCTGATGGATAAAGATCAAACAAATTAACAAAAGCGTACATTATAACTAAAGTGTCTTATTATCTTCCCGAAACAGGGGCAGGATAAACTACAACCTCCTTATGCCTACATGCCACAGAAATTACAGGGGAAAACAGCGACAACGTGAAAATGGAAAGCTGATTTCAGGGAAAGCTCTACAGAGGAACCCGGGAAAACTGTAACTTATACTTTAAGCGTTGGTGGTGGCGGCGGCGGTTGGCTTCTGAATGATAAAGGCCATACACTGACCCTGGTTGATGTTGTCAAATGCCAAACAGCGTATATAAGCATTTGGGTAAGCTGTTTTGCACTGGGAGATTTCATTGAGCACCATAGACGGGTCAGTGCAACCAAACATGGGCAGCTTCCACAATGTCCAGTATCTCCCATCGTAGTAGCCTGGCATCGTGCTATTCGCCCTGTAAATATGCCCGATCTTCCATGGTTGCAACAATCAAACATTAATTCAAATCCCTCCTTCCCCCAATACCCCTTGGATTGAAAAAAGAAGTTTTAAAATAAACTGACCTCATCGAATTCGAATCTTCCATGGTTGCAACAATCAAACATTAATTCAAATCCCTCCTTCCCCCAATACCCCTTGGATGAAAAAAGAAAGTTTTAAAATAAACTGACCTCATCGAATTCGAGGCAAGGGATCCAGCCTTTCTTGAGCATGTAGTCAATCTCCTTTGCAATTGAATCATCAGAGAGTGGTGGAAGGTAGGACAGAGTCTCAAACTTCTTGTTGTTGATTGGGTTCCATACCTGTAAAATCAAACAAACCAAGAATAAGAATCTTGGGTACTTGGGATCATATAATCATAGAACAACCTGTTAGGTTTAACATTACCTTCATGCAGTGAGTTCTTGAACCATTGGAGACAGTTTTCTTGGTCCATCCAATCGAATCTTTAACCGGGAAAGTTTTCGGAGGGTGGGTTGACAGGCCAACGTAGCCGGATGCAGCAAGCGGAGCACTGAAGATTGCAGAAGACATCTTCAAGCTTTATTGCTTATCAGGATGATTGATCGAATATGAGAAAACAGCAAAGTCTTGTCGTGCACAAACACAAAGTTGAAGGCTCTTCTTCTAAAGGTGGTGGAGTTGGTTGGAGAAGAAAACAAAATGTACCAGCATGGGTTGGTTAAGTGGTATTGAGAATACGGTGGGTACAATGGTATTTCAATTCCTGCTTTAACCATCCTCTCACTAAAAATCAAAATCCACTTGGCATGCCAAGAGAGGATTGGGCCCCACCAATTCATGGTGCCACTAGGGAGCTTCTTCTAGCCAATTTTGCAGACATTAGACTAACCGCGGGAATCAAATATATAGGAAGAAATGGCTCATCTCTGTCATTGGCTTTTCATGGAGCTTGGAGAAAACTTCAAAAATTGCTGGATGTGGTTCTTTGATGCGAATCCAGGTTTAGAGAATCCCTTTTAGCCAACTAATGGAGGCTGGCTTCTGAGCTAAATAAATACAACAGCATTCAATGTAAAGATCTGCAGCTAGATGCATCTTTGGAAGAACAGGATAGACTTGCCTCTGGATTTGATCTTTCCAATACACCAATAAAGACATCTTTAAAGCAATGATGCATAATTACCAATTGAAAAGCCTTCAAGATCCCTTCTGAGTTGGTTTAAAGTTTTGTATATCTTTCTGGAACGAGAATGAGACTTATCGTTAGCTACAAATTTATGGACAACACCATCAATCTCGATGAAGCTCCAAGCAGAACTTGTAACTACTTCTCTATCCTTCATCATTTTCCTGACCCTCGTCGCATCCTCCCAGTTTCCCATTTCGGCATACATGTTGGCCAGAAGAACATACCTTCCACTATGTTGAGGTTCTAACTCAATCAGAAGCTTCCCCACCCTATCCCCTACCTCAGCATGGCCATGAATCAGGCAGCCATTAAGCAAAGACCCCCATATCGCTCCGTCTGGTTTCATTGCCATACTTCTTATCAATGTTTCTGCATCCTTCACTTGTCCGGCGCGTGCCAAGAGATCAACCATGCACCCATAGTGCTCAATCCCTGGAGCAATACCATAAACTTTACTCATGCGTCCCAACAAGCGCCATGCTTCATTTACCAGAGTTTTGTGATTGCAAGCAGTGAGAACTCCAACAAATGTCACAGCATTTGGTTTAGGTCCCTTCTTTTCCATTTCTGCAAAAAGTGCAAGCCCCATATCATTCTCACCATTGATAGCAAATCCCATGATCATAGCACTCCAAGTAGTCACATCTTTACTAGGCATCATACTGAACACTTCTTGTGCATCTTCAATGCATCCACATTTTGCATAAAAATCTATTAGTGCAGTACCAAGCTCAAGTCCATACTCAATACCGTTTTCATTTAAAAACAAATTAATCCATTTCCCTTCTTTGAATGCGCCCACGGACGCGCAAGCATTAAGAACACTGACCAAAAGAGACTCTTTGAGCCTGACATGACTCTTCGATTCACGAAACAGGTCAATAGCTTCATTGAAACAAGCATTCCAAACATACCCAGAAACCATTGCGCTATAAGAAACATCGTTTCTCTCTGGCATTGTATCAAACAAATCACGAGCCTCGTGAACCAACCCATTACTACAATAACCACTAATAAGGCTAGTCCAACAAGCCACATTCTTATCCAAACTTTCCTCAAACACTCTACGAGCAAATTCCACAGCTTCACATTTGCAGTACGTACTAATAAGTGAGCTAATAACATAAACATCACAACCATGTCCAAACTTCATTATCTGACCTTGTAGCTGACCAAGCAAAGATGCACCAACATATGCTTTAACTAAAAAAGTGAAAGTACGAGCATTTGGCTCAGTGCCCATCCTTCTCATTTTGGTGTAAATGGAGAGACCCTTTTCAGATTCTGAGCGTTTCAAGAAACCCATAATCATGGAATTGCAATCAAAGATGTTGGGTCTGGTAATTTGATATAATAGAGTCTCAGCGTAGTGCAGATTGCCATATTCTGATAGTGCAGAGAAGGCTAAGAGCTTGCTGGCAATGAAGGTGAAACGAGCAAGACCGGTGGTGACTATTTGGGCATGGATTTGTTTAAGTTCGTTCAAGCTTGAACATCTTTGTAGTAGGAGAAGATACGGAGGGCCTGTGACTGATTTAGAGAAGACTCTGCTGCTCATGTGGTGGACTACACTTTGAAGTTGACAAACAAGCTGCTATAGTGTTGTAGCATAGTAGGTCCACATGATATAACTCGTTCACGTGTTATAATACACATGGATATTTTGTTATACTATACTCTAAAAGTGGGAAATATCAACCGTATCATCCACCCATATTATATCACGTGACTATACTACAGTACCATACAATAATTTCTGCAAGTAAAGCCTTTTTATCAGACTTTGTGGGGAAAGTGATTAGCTGTGTTACACTCAAACATAATCAAATCCAAGACCTGTCACTGTAGATATAATAAATATTTAGTATGCCACAAAATAACAAATGAATTTTACGCTGCAAAAGAAGAGAGAAAGAGAAAGGATGGGATAATTAAAGGGTGAATTATAAAGCTTGGCCTTGGAAAGAATTTGACCCCTTATCCTAGCCCCACTATTTTGTGTTATTAGAGCATCTCCAACCGATATGTCAAAAATGCCATATAGACATTTAACGGCTAGAAATAATATCTCACATCACTCCAACCGAATTGTCAAAGCTGATGTGGAATGAAGGTTGGAGGTTCAGCTGTTATTTTTGACATACCAAAAGCAAGATGTCAAATGAATATTTTATTATTTTTTAAAGACAGTTGGCTGCTACTTTCATTTATTATTTTCCTTTTTTATTTTTTTTCTTCTTTATCTTGAATAATTTGACGGTTACAATAATTATTTATTTGACATATCGGGTGGAGTGTAAAACTGTGTAAATATCAAATTGCCACATCAGCCATCAAATTTAAATTTGATGTTTGGTATTTGACATCTCCCTTGGAGATGCTCTTATAAACAATTATTTGACTACTAGTTGTAGTGACAGAGTACTGAAAATATTGAATATTTTTATTTCAATTATAAAAAAATAATCCGATGTCGTAAATTTCTTTTTCTTCCTTGCTTGTTTTTCGTTTTTGCTAACCCTAAACCCAGAAAAATTAAACAAAATAAATGAACATGGGCAAATCAGAGCACACACCTAATGGGTTTTAAATGAAGGAGAAAATCCTTCAAAAACCCCAGATGTCAGTAATAATCACCATGTTCCCTTTGTCAGTAAATTCTTTGTAAAACCCATTGAACAAATAATCCTTGAAACCAATAAAACCATTCAACAAATTAAACCTAAGACAAACCCAGATATTTGTAATACCCAATAAGAATCAAAGTTTCGTTTTTATTTATTTTTTCAGTAAAATTTCTGCAAAACCCAAATGGTATAAACCCTTCAACAGAACAAGTAAAAGAGTCCAGAATTTTGTATTACCCAATTGGAAACATGTTTGTTGGAACAAAATCAACAAACCAATTAAAATAAACGCATACATACCTGATGCCGAATGGAGGAGTGAGAGGAGTATGAGCTCTTGTCAAAGGAGAGGGCTCTAAGAGGAGTTCGAGCTCAGCCCTGACCGGTTTCGGTGTAAAGGAAAGAAATTCATCTTTGACTGAGGCGGCACAAATATGAGAGAGGGGGTTTGGACTTTGAAGACTTCGGGGTAAGAGCACGAGAGAAAAAAAAAGGCGGGATGGGAAAAAGATGGAGAGAGAGAGTTTCAAATTTTTGCCATAAAACGGTTGGGAGAGAGAGGAGAAAAGAGTCCTGACACGGAAAAAAAAACTCAAAAAGAAAAAGAGTTGCCGGAAAATCTACCCACCTCAACGAGAAATTCTTGAATACTACACATAAAATAACATGACACCTTGTATTTTGGTCCAACACAACTCCACTATGTTTCTACCGTGTATAAAATAGGCAGACACAAGAACTTATACATGTTAATGGGTGCGTGAATGATGAATCGAACACAAGACCTCTGGTGCAAATATAATTATTTTTAACCACTCGAGCTAACAAGCTCCTCGATGAGAAACTCAATATTTAATAGAATAGACAATCTATTATTAAAATAAACAGTCAACCAATCATCATTGATGGTCCAAGAGCATACATATTGATAGATACAACTGCTATTTTATTGCTGAAAAAATTGCTAGCAGAAACAGCATATCCATGAATGAAGCCGAAACTGGATTTAAATAAGAAATGAAATCTAGCATTTTTACATCATAAGAATGGCAAATGAGGATGGTAATATAATTGATGATGGACTATAATGACATTGCCAGGAGATCCAATTGAATTGCTGCTGCAGGCACTCTTAATAACTTATACCAACAACCCTAACAGAGGATAATCAATGCCAAAGCTTCATGCAGAACCCATTTGGCACAACAGATGATTTCTTACATGAAATACTTTCGGAAAAGGTGTCAACAAGTTGCCCTGCAAGAGATGCAGGATCTTCAATAAAGGTATCTACAAACACTCTCACAATCCTTACCTCCTGAGGGGTAGCTCTCAAACTATACCAAGTCAGAAATTTCTGCCGGAAGTTCTGCTCGATATGTCCCTCACACTCTAACCATCTGATAACCTTCACATAATACTCAAAGTCCCTATTTGAAACACCATTTGCCACACACTCCTCATCTTGCCTTTCCCCACTTCTCTTCTTTGATGTGCTGCCATCTTGGGGTTCCTCTTCTTTCCCAGTCCCATTTTTTAAATCCTTGCTACTGGAATTGGATTTTTCATTCCTTCCTAGCCCATCTTTGAGTGTTTCGATTTTGCAAGGAGTGATTGGCAAGCCAGCCTCGGAGCTACCAACAAATGGTACACATTCCATTCCAGTTCGAACAGGGGAATTTGATCCATTATCAGTGCTGATGTCTTCGATAATTTGGCCCTCTGGTGATTGCTTGCACTCACGTGTTAGGACATCCGAATTAGATACAGAGCCAACCATCCCATTGGCTTGTTCCTCGTCCAACAAAGAAATTGCATCTGCTGTAGGTCCTCCGCCCATGCTATTGCAGTTGATAGCATCATTTGATATATTGGCAGAAACAGTTTTGTCAGTGTCCTTGCAATAAGTAAGATAATTGTCTGCTCGGTTATCAGCCTGATCACCATATGGAATAGCATTATTTGTTTCATCTTCCACTGAAGAAGGATTAGAAAGGCTGCTACAGTTGGTAGCCGGGCTCTGACTTCTCTCTGTCACTGAACAATTAGGGACTTCATCTCCAGCAGTACTTGTGGAGAGCCGAACTTCACACACGCCCAAATGTCTTGTACCATGAAACGAAGTGACTTTGAAACAGTACTCTGTAGCTGGAATTAGTCCAGTCACAACAAACCGCATCTTTGGTGCAAACAGCGTGCACGTGGGTTCCGCTGGATAATTCATATCATCAGCCTTACAGTGCCATAACTTGTAACCTGCTATATTTTCTGCGGGAGGATATTCGGAACCCAAAACCACAGTGAGGGATGTAGCATGGACATTCTCAAATCTAACCATGTCTGGAGCAATCAAACTTGGATCTGAAAGTTTAAAAGAGTACAACAACAAAACAACCATTAAATCCCTTGATGAACACGTGTTTGAAGAAACCAATAAACAAGATAAGATACATTATCTACAATAACATCATGGATTTTTTGTGATGAGAGAAACGAAGAAACTAGACAACTCTGGTATAACATACATGAAAAGATCATATGAAACTAATTACTTATCACAATTACATCGTTGGTATGTTTGCAACACATGGTGACCGGCAAAGTTGTGGAATGCAAGTAAGTCCAGTGACTGTGGTTAGGGAGTGACAGTTGCAGAGAATTAGATTACCTTGTCTTGTAGGCTTGGGCAATGGATGCAACGTTGCATTGGAAAGCATTGAATCCAGTGACTCCAGAGCAAATGCACAAAGTTTCTGAATCTCTGGTCCAGAAGAAAGCCTGTTAACAATACCCCGACCCATCTTTAATGGTAAGCCTGTTAATGGACCCACTTCAGCTTGAAGCTTCTTCACAGCTTCATCCACAATCTCATAAAGTTTTTGATACTTTTCAGTCCCTCTGAGAAGCTTATGACTCAAGAAGATACGATAGCACAGTATGTCCACTCGTCTGGTATCCTTTGCCATCACTAGTTGTTTCCTCCAGGATCTAAATACATGCAAGAACACAATGCCAATCAGATTGTTGTACACGAGGAAAAAGTAATATCTAAGCTAACTGGTACAGAAAATTAGTAATAATTACATGCTTCGTTGTGATATTACATGCTTTGCACAGTTGGGAAGTAATTAGTTATAAACAGCATTCGCAGAGAAGAAATAGCAACCATTTATTTGCATCATATTAACTGGCAACAAATTCATTAATCAACCACTTACAATGCCTTACAAATAGAAGAAAATCCATTTTTCTTTTTTATTAGTCTTCTCCGTTTTGGAGGAATTTATACAGGAACAAAAGTGCAATACTAGGAAATAAATTCAAACTACAGCCAAATTACAAGTAATCAGCCAAGTAAAATGTAGTGACAGCCTAATTACAAGCAATCAATCTAATCAATTCAAATCAGCAACAACACCAACCCCAACCCTGCACCCTCATGCTGGAGCATGGGTATTTCAAATGCCCAGCTTGACAAGTGCCAATTAAAGATTTTGCGGTCGACATCCAGCCAGACCAAGCAGTGCTGATCGACATTGGCCCCGACCAAGCACAGCGGTCGACATTATGTCTGGACCAAGCACAGCGGTCGACATTATGTCTGGACCAAGCACAGCGATTGACATTTTGTCCAGACAAAGCACAGAAATCGACATTTTGTCCAGAGTCCAGACCAAACACAGCAGTTGACAATTGTCTAGACCAAGCAGCAGCCGTTGATGTATCTCCAGACCAAGCAGCTCCAACTAGAAGCAATCCTCAGTGAATAGAGAGTTCTTGTCCTCCACATTGAAATGGTCCTTCAAGGCCATGACGATGATCACTCTTCAAACCAGTGGAAAGTGATCATTCTTCTATATGTTGCAATTAATCTCACAGTGAGATTACGAGTTATGGATGGTACAGGTTTGGTACCCTGGCTAAAATTCAAACAAATATCCTCACTTTTATTTTAGATATCTATAACACCAGAACAAATATCTGTACCAAGCCGAGATATCAAGGCCCCGACGCTTCGAATTTATTGGCCGATACAAATATCAGTACCCAGGCCCAGAACAAAGAAACAAGGTGGCAGATGTAGAAGGGTAGGGAAACACCGGCTCTGCACTTTTATCTAGATTAAGTAGTGTAAGAGCCAAAATCTACCCTCTAGAAACTTACTTTGATACCATGTTGGAAAATAGAGGAAAATCCCTTTTTCTTGTTTATTAGTCTTCTCCATCTTGGAGGAATTTATACAAGAACAAAAGTGCAATACTAGAAAATAAATTCAAACTATAGCCTAATTAAAAGTAATCAACCTACTTAATCAAAAAAAAAAAAAGTAATCAACCTACGTCAACTCTAGTGATAGCCTAATTACGAGCAATCAATCTAATCAGTTCAAATCAGCTTAATTGTAGGTAATGAAAATAGAATAGACAACAATCAAGCAATCATAAATCAGTCAATATCTTCCGACACTATTTATCAATGAGAGAAAGAGAGAGCTTTTTTGACAACTAGCAACAGTATCAACTCTGCAATGATGGAGCTGATATAATATTAACATATATACATGAACATGTACATATGTATGTCTGTCAATATATATGTATGTATCAACCTTTTGGCATTAGCATCAAAATAACAAACTACAGTTTCAAAAGAACCAAAACATTCTTTTTCAATAGAAGAATGTAATCAAGCTCTAAAAGTTACGATGTCAGGAAAAACTTCAATATCAAACTGTAGCACAATGCTGCCCACTTCACAATCTGATTTCAAAGAATCTTAACAACTCAATACGACTCATCAAATCAATCATTCATAGACTCATAGGTGTGTTTGGCAGGTTTCATGAAATGTTACAACTTGAAGGAAAAATGTCTAATGCTATCTCGTGTATTAAATTGGGAGCATGCAGAAAGCTTCTGTGTAAGGCTCTAAAGTTATTATATCCACTCTGTCATTTTATGGGTAACAGTGATTATGATGACTGTTATCCAGATAATACCCCTTAACCTTGTTGTAAGAAAGACACAGCTCCAAAAGAATAAGGCTTGGTGTCAAACATTAACCAACTATACTTTATAAAGAAATACAACTGGCACTTTTTTTGAAGCCTACTTAAGTGAAAGTAGTTTAGTCAATAAAAAAAGAGTACATCCAATAGGTGAAAATACAGAATTAGAGGTCATATAGGCTTCAAATTTATTTTACTTTATTCTAAAACTGGAATAAAGATATCTATGATTTAAGCAACAGCCATGAGCTTCATGTTTCTACAGAACAAAGGGTTTGGAGACAAACGCTCCAGAAAGTATAAGCACTAGGGCCATTATATATGCATCTCTCCTTCAGAGTCACCAAATACAAAACTAGTACGCTTTGTATACTCTCAAGAAAGTTCAGTATAGCTTTTGAGAAGGAGAGGGAGAAGCACCCCAGGAAATCTATCCCAGCATGTGTTGTTTATGTGATTCTATGCAACAAGTCTGCTAAGATCTTCTCGAGACTGATTTTTATTAGAT